GCGCGAGGAGCGCGAGCGCCTGGCGCGCGAGCGTGGAGCCCCAGGACCCTGCGTGAGATGACGGCCTAGAATGGAACTTGCAATATCTTGCAATATTGCAGCAGTAGCTTTCATGTTCCATTTCCCTGAACCATAGGCAACCAAATCGGAACTGCAGCAGGGCGTGGGCTTTGGTTCTAGAAGCTTGGAGCCGAATCCGGTGGCAAGAAGGGACGCATTTTGGGGATGCCGTGGATGCGGGGATTTTGATTTCTTGACGCACGCCCAGGTGATGATGCAGGTAGAGTTGGTAAATGAGGGTGGGGGAATCGTTTGAGGAATTTCCATACTGTCCGGTGTGCTGTGGTGAGGGATGGACGAAGACATCCCGATTACCTGACGTGCTTTCAGCGCCGAATTTTGATATCTCTCGGGATCTGGAGCTCATGTTGTGAATTTGGCAGGTGGGCCGAAATTACTGCCTGGCATCGTCAACTCGAAGGCGGCTGAGTATAACGGCTTCAAAGTCTTGAAACCTAATCCTTGTAAACCACAGTATAAACCCAGGTTTCCATTTCAGTTTCTTTTCCATTTGATTCTCCATTGCTGGGAGAAAATTCATATATATCCCTAGATAACCAAAAATGGTACACCGTGTGCACGCCCGGCTCTTTCACGAGCAGTTGAGCATGCCTCACCATGTTAGATGCTATTGCAAGAGCACAGTAAGCATGAGAAGCCAGAGTCGTGCCACTTTCAGGATGACGTCACCAAAAAACCCTAAACCCTAAACCAATTTTGCAGACTGTGCCAGGTTGGGAGCTCACCCAGATGGCTGCTGAGGAGCTCGTTGTACTCTTGTCGTGTCGACAGGTAAGTGGGGAGGACCCTAAACCTTAAACCCCTTGGGGCACCGCAGGCATGGCAGATTGGATTGCATATTGGTGATCTTCTGTTTCAGAAGGATGACTCACATAGGGTTCAGGGTTTAGGGTTGGAGTTCTTTCAGGAATTGCTTCCCAAGGTTGTGCTCCCTGACTCCCTGAAGTTGGCATGCTGAACGTCATGTTTGCTGTCTTGGATTCTGATTAGGTATAGTCCCCCTTAAGTAGATAGAACATGGGGTACGGGTAAATGGGGATCTTATTATAATATACCCAAAGCCCTACTCTATCTACTTAAGGGGGACTACAGCTACTCGTAGCCGTCATGGGCCGATGATAGTGGCTCATCGTCGCAGATGCATTCCAGATGCCATGGGGGTTTCCAAAACCAGGGGTCCCCCTCATACACTCCAAGAAATAACACTCCCCGTAAGGGTTTAGGGTTTAGGGCTAGGGTGGGGACCCTAAACCCTAAACTTCAAACCCTAAACTTGTCAATGAGCTGGTACTGCCCCGGACAGACAGTCATCGCCGTGCCTGCACTGTGTGTGCCATGCGCATGTCTAAACCCTAAACTGTTATGGGGACCCCCAGAAACGGACCTCTAGTTTCTGCAACCTCCAGATCAGATCTCTCAACTTCCCAATCCCAGGCTTGCACTGGTGACCCTGGAGCTGAAATGGGGTGATAATCGTTTAGGGTTTTGAGTTTAGGGTTTAGGGTAGGGACTCCCCAAAAGAAACCCTAACTTCGGAAACTTCAAATATGCAGGACCTGCGAGAGCAGGAGAGAGCCCGAGAAGCGGAAGAGGCCAACATTGAGCAAGGGCTTTAATATTCCTTTGTTTAGGGTTTAGGGTCCAATATCCCAATAGAACCCCTATTGTTGGCCTATAGAATTTAGTAGTTTCCATTTTGCTTTTCCTTAACCCTAAACCCTATGCCCCTGTGTAAGCCCTAAATTGTAGTTTCCATTTTCTTTTCCATTATCCCTATATAACAAAACCTTTAGTGGAAGGTATCCTCCAGCTTGATCTAGTTACTGGGGGGTTAGTAGGGAATAAGGAAATGCAGGATTTAGGGTTTCGGGTTAGTAGGGATGGGGGTTTTGCTGCATTTGGGGGCAGGGCGGCATGTCTAGTTTCCGGCTTAGGTCTGGAGAAGCTCAATGTTGTAGATGTCGCCATGGTTCTTGCTGGTCCTGAAAGTCGTATATTGGGGTCATGTAGGGATAATGGAAAAGAAAATGGTCTGAATGAGGTACGGCATGAGGCACAGCACTGATCATGCGACAATGCTGAACACGCCGGAAATCAAGCTGAAGCCTTCAACTGAGCACACCAAAAGGACAACTGTCGTGTGCGAGCAGCGTCACAGCTTCGGCAAGGAGCTCCCTGCATTGGAACCCTTCTGTAAATATCCTCAGATGATCAGGTTACAGTAGTTTCCATTTCATTTTCCATTATCCTTAAACCCTATACCCCAAATCCCCATATAAACTCTAAATTGTAGTTTCCATTTTATGTCCATTATCCCTATATAACCCCTTATATAACCCTAATATTACCTGAGCCCAGTTAAGGTTGTTGCAGATAATCACTCCCTAAACCCTAAACCCTAAACCCTAAACTCCCAATGCGACGGTCACATGCGAACAGGTGCAGGCAGCTCTGGAGGGGAGCAGAAGGTGGGGACCAAAGCAGCTGCATAAGTATAGCACTATTGGGGTTATTATAGTATATGATAATATGTTGAAGTAATATACTATGATATACTATAGTATATTATGGGGATATATTGGGATAATGGAAAATGAAATCAAAATTACTGGGGTTATAGGGGTTATGTAGCCTTTTTTGGGGGGCATTGGTCTTTACTACTTAACCTTGCTCGTTGCTCGAGTTTATCTTGACAGAGTTCACGGGCCCTGACCCCTTCCTGCGTCTCTCAGCAGACTTGTGAAATTCTTGTCTATGTAGTTGCTCCGTTCAGCCCCCACTCGTAGGAGTGACTTGAATTGCGGGGTGCCGACGCTTTGTTAGCATCTCCACTGCATATTTGCCACTTGGGATTGTCCTAAACCCTAAACCCTAAACCCATTCAAGCACTCCCATGCGTGGCCTTGCCTCCCTTGGATGATTTGACTGGTGATTATGGTGTACAATTATCTGTTGCCTGCACACCACGAGGCAGCCTGGCTGGGAGCAACGTGCACGTACAGCTAAACGGCATCCAATCTTCTTTTTCGCCACGTTGAACTGCTGGGGTCTGCTCATGGCCATTGGCATAGAGGTTAAGGCGCGTCATGAATGATCACAATCAAAGGATTCATCCTGCGAAGAGCCATCCCTCCTCATGTTTGCTTTGACCAAAGGAGGCTAGTTAGCAACAGAGGGCATTTCTTCCCAGCAACTTGATTGACTGCAGCAAACTCCTCAAACATAGGGCAGTGAGGGTACTGGATCAACAGCCTCACAAAATGCAGGCGCTCTCGCTCCAAACGCAAGCGGTCCCAGGAAGAGGCGCTTCTGGCATGCATTTATGGCGGCCTGGTTCCGTGCCTTGCTCCCTGACAATAAATCTTCCCGCCCTGTCTCAGGTAATATCTGGGTAGTGTTTCTTTGTCCTTATAAGCACAATTTAGCACAGCAGCACATAAAGAGATTGAAGATTGGCAAGGTCTGACAAGTATGAGCCCTCCAAATGTAGGCTTGCTTTTTTGTACCTGCCAGCCTCATTTTCTCTTTTGCAGTAGAAAGAGGTATTCTACTGAAACCTGGAACCGCTAACAAAACGCGCAAATACAGTACTCGTTGGGCCCTTGCCATGGGACCCGTGTAAGGGTCCCACACTTTGGGAGTGTGGAATGCACATGGGTGGTTGTCAGAATTATGGTCTGTTGGGTACCCCCTAAATATTAGGTGCCGTGTTAGAACAGGGATCCAAAAATGACCATAATTTTGACAACCACCCGTGTGAAGTGTGAAGGTTGCCCCTTAAGATGGAAGCATAAACCCTAAACCCTAGCCTGCTTCAGGATAGTTGTTTACTTTTGACCACCACCCGCATGACAACTCCCTTTTGTAGGTGCCAGCATCCCCTGTAGGAGCAACCCTGGTCAGCAGAGGAGCCGCCACCTCAGCGGAAATTCAAGCAACCCCTAACCCTAAACCTTAAACCCTAGATAGTAGTCCTGGAGAAAAGGCGCATCAAAAAAAACGATAGTTTCCATTTTCTTTTCCATTATCCCAATATAACCCCAATGTGCCACTAATGGTTTAGGTTTAGGGTTGTATTCTCTCGCCTTGTCGGACAATAAGCCTCCAACTGTGCTGGTTGGCAACTGCTAGGGAGCTTTCCACCGCGGCTTGGATTGATTTTCCTTTGCAGTCCAACCTGTCCAATTCGCAGCCGAATCCCGCTTTCTGTGTTTTTCATACTGCATGTCCTGATTACTTCCAATTTCACAGGATCATGAGAGTAGCATTTTACTTCGGGATACTACGGTACCCAATATAGAGTAAGATTCTATCCTCCTTGCGGGGTATAGTATTCTATATAAGGAATACAATCTTACTGGGTTTAACCACCAAAAAAACGCTACTCATGTGAGCTATAGCCTAAACTCCTAGTATGCCCCTTAATAACCCCTATAGCAGTCCCCTATACAATCCCCTATATACCCCCTTTTAAGGAGTTTAGACTAAAGCTCATGTGGGCCTGGGTGGCAGGACTTGAATGTAAGCTCACTGGTTTGATGCGAGGCAGATTCTGGAGGAAGAGCTTCGACGTGCTCAAGAAGAGCACGACGTTTCGATCTTGGCAGCCTATAGTACAATAGGGTATATATATATATTGGGGTTATATATAAGGGGCTATTATAGGGGATAATGGAAGAGAAAATGGAGACTACTATAATGGGTTATATAAGGTATATATTTGGTTTAGCTGCTGCAGCCATTTGTTTGCAGATCCGGATGTCCTAAGCAGCACGTGTAAGCGTGAACTTGCAACAGTTGCAGGTAGCAAACTGGTAGTGGCTGGTGTTCCGGAGAAGCGCGTGCATGCGACCCGCAGTCGCCGCACCTTCTTTTTCTTTCTTGTTCCTTTCGGCTCCAAACACAGCAGCTACCAAGCAATGGGAGACTTTCGGAGAAGTCGTTTAAGCAGCACGCCAGTTGCAGCTTGGACAGCTTTGGGCAACCTCCTTATGCAGGTTCCCAAACATTGGGGTCGGCTTAGAATTTGTTGAGAAGTTAAGAGTGAGGTCCATGTTTGAATGGCCGAGTAGTTGTTGAGAAGGACTTTGCTTCCAGGGTTTGAGGTGTAGGGCGTAGGGCATGCCAGCTTCAGCTCTGGCAGACGTGCGCGCGTGTGTGTGTGTGTGTGTGTGTGTGTGTGGGTGTTTTTGGTGCATTTCTGGGGCGTCTCAAGCTTTGCTATCAGCACAAGCCTTAGACATATCCTAAGTTGGACCCTACAAATTCGTGATAATTCTTACATGCCACTAAAATGCCTTAGGCCCCCCCAATTTTTAGTAAAAAAGAGCTCTCAGGTTGGCCGTGTGGTGGAATGGAAGAAGACGCACGGCTGGATTGAGCCAGAGTGCACCATCGATCACCCCGAGATGGCCAAGCACCAAGGTAGCGGATAACACACGTAGTCGATGGGGTTTCACACAAACAGGAGTTTGGCAGCATTATTTCTACAGAACCCGTGGCCTCAACCCGCATAGCTTGTCATCCCATCGGTAATCCCCGACGTATGCATAGGGTCTCCGAAATACCCCTGTGTGCTTGCAGGTCACATATTCGTGCACGGGGAGGACTCGACGTGCTGAGCAGCTGAGGTTATGCGTTGTGCATCTTACACTTTTGCTCTTGCTGAGCTCGGAAATTCCCGTATTCTTTTTCAACCTCCACGGCCTGAATTCATTTTGGTCCATTAAGCATTTACCTTCAGTTGTTTCTATGGCAGTACCCGAACTCCCAAAAAGAAGCAGGACTTGGTGCCGAAGTGGAGGAACCTGGTGGCCGGCGCCATGGTGGAGTTTTTCTTGTATTATGACGGTCTGGAACTGAGGTTGCTGGCTTCCTGCCAGAGTTCATCCAGTCCAGGTCTTTTGTAGCGTTGTGGCTTGTGTCCCAGGTCAGGGACTGGGAGCCGAAGAATGTACATCGCGAAAAGTGTTACGCGTCACGCTCCCCTGGAAGCATGCGAAGGCTGGCTTCCACGGCTGGAGAGAGATGTGTATTGATGGCAGCTGCTTCCGTGAGACCTAATTAAATTCCTTGACCCGCTTTAAATTTTTGGCCTCGATTGTCTTGCTCGTGCACTCGGCGATGTCAGGAGATGTTTGGCGAATCAGGGGAGAAGCTGGCAGACTTTGAGCAGCAAACTCATGCACCATGGCTTGTGAGACATCTGGGTTGGACCCGGCATTGGATTTGAGTCTTGTCCAAGCCCGACAAGCCTTGAATGCTAACCAATCCGCAGATTGCGGCAAGGTGCAGGGTATGCACACCACATATGGTTGAAGCACATGCTCAACGTGAGGTAACAATCCGTGCATATCAGTGGTGTCAGCCAGATGGCAACAACAGCGGCCTGGCTGTCACTGTCCAGTTGTACGACAGTCGGTCGTTTGTATTACGTGACGGACTGGTAGCTGTTGCACCGAGCCTGACCATGCACCCAGGCGATCTGCCCTTTCTACTCTTTGAAATATGGGGGCGCCCACAAGCTGCTACTGGACAGCAGCAGCTGGAGTCGATGGTCTAAGGTCTAAGGCTTTAGGGTGTTACCGAGATGGGAAACGGTGTTCTTCGGCGTTGCAGGTCAGATGCAAGATGCAGAAGGGTTTTGTTTGGCGATGGTGAATTTGCCATACTTCTAAGTTGATGTGAGCCATGGTCTAAACTCCTAGTATTCCCTTAAGACGCCCTATAGTAGTCCCCTATATAACCTCCTTTAAGGAGTTTAGACTATAGCTCATGTGGAGTGGATCTGTGCTCAGGTTGTCGAATCCATCGGAGCGCTAGCAGCGCGACGAGAGCAAGATGGCAACGCAGCAGAGGATACCCGGGGTCATGGATGGGTTTAAGGTTTAGGGTTTAGAGTTTAGGGTTTATGGGATTGTCTGGCTTGCTGTTGAGAAACTTAAGCCAAGTTACGACAATCAGAACCTAACAGAAACCCAGTGCCGGATGGAATTGCTTTTGGCAAGCCAATCCAATCGGCCCTATCTGAATCAGCCAGATTTGTGACGAAAGACTGTGTCGACTGGAGTCAGAGTAGTCTGGCAAGGCGTGCCGCTTCGGTCTCACAGTCAAGGGCTGAAAGGCATTACTCTAGGTTTGGGTGTCGGTGCCAAAGCGTCAGAAACTTCACCATGCATATCTATGCGTGGATGTCCGATTGAGATTTTTGTAATGACTGCGCGCACGCGCAAGGTTCTCCAAGTCCTTGGTGTTCTGTTGTCGAAGGACACCCTTTGCGTGAATCTGCTCCTGCCAGAAAGTCGAATGTGGAAGGCGCCTCTGCCAGTTGACTCTGGTTGACTGCATTTGTTTGAGGATTTGCCTTTTTCACTCAGTCTGTCCCGGCTCACCCCCTGGCTCACCCTCCTCTCCCTCTCTCTCGCTCGCTCTCGCTCTGCTCCCTCTCTGCGTCTCCCTTGCTTGCTCCCTTCTCCTGCTCCTCCTCCTCATCTTCCCCGCTTGAACTCCAGTGCCATCGCTCCGCAGGTTGACTTGATGCAGCTTCAGCACTATTGCAGTCTGGAGGCTTCATTTGGGGGGATTTCCTGACAATGTCGCACGATGTCGCTTTCCTCGGTTCATTCATCGCATGTGTACAGCCACAGGTGTCCAGTTCAATCACCATAACTGACCCGATGCCATGCCGGACACTGACCATCCAGGCGATGCTGCATCGAATTGTTCAGCGTATTCCTGCAGTTCCTGATATGGAGAACATGTGATGTGCACGTTGCCACAATCGACTGCCAGCACTAGCTGCAGCCAGCAGTTGATCACATGGCATGAACCACAGGCACCTCTGCCACACTTTCGATCGTCGCTCCATGCCCTCATCGCGCAGGCAGCCTGTGTGGGCAATTTATGGTGACCTCACTGACTCAAGCCAAGCGTTGGTGCGTATGAAGGATGGTAGAGAGATCCCAGTATTTCGGGTTTTGGAATGGTCAGAATTTAGACTGTGTCTTTTTCAGGCAAATCCCAGTCAAAAGCCATAGCTTCCCTGCGTGACCCCTTGGCAATGCATCCAATTCCGCAATCTTGCATCCCCTACTCGGGGCTGCATACGATGCTAAGCCGTCGGATTGATTCTGTAGAAGATGTCAGGTGAACGGTGACCCACTCATGCACGTCCCCAAAGTCTAACCTCACGTTCGCCAGTGCAGCGCAGGCGTGCGACTGAAGGTGGGCTTGTGCTTTGGCTGCAATTTGCAATTTGGGAGCAAAGAAGTCTGATCGAAGCAGTACGTCACGTCTTTTTCTGCTTCTCTTTGGTACACACGAAGACAAGTTGTTGTCTGCACCCCGCTGTAATAGGACCAAGCGGTTTTGCATTGGTTTTTCCGGTCGCAAGCTTCTTGATTTGGTAGTTTCCCTAAATAGGGGGACCCAATATAGACCCAAATATATTATAGTCCTTGTTATGGGGACCCCAGAAAGGTACCCCTAATTTTGGGAAACCCCCATTTGGATCAATGTTACTGGGAGGAAGGCTGGAGGCTTAGGTGATTGTGGGTCGGGATGTCCCATTCGTGCCCGCACCCTTAGAGCTTGTGTTGTGGACTATTGCTATTTGAGGCTAGACTTCGGGTTTAGACGGGTGGAGGTAGAGGCAGAATGACGGCACATGTTGCAGCCAGTGTTCTGGACTGTTGCATCTGTGAGGTGCAAGAGCCGTGGAGTTCCACCTGAGAGATTTCGAGTTTGTGTTTCACAACAATTGCAAATGAGAGCTGCTCCTGCTGGCTGGCTAACGATTCCAGGTCAACCACTTGTTGGCTGATCCCAAAGTGCTGGCTGGCGTCAAATTTGGAATGTCCCCAAGCCCCAGACCATTCGAACACCTCGATGAAGAAGCTTACATTGGCCCGCGATAGTAAAGGTTGCAGAGCTTTGGTGTATACATAAAGGAGTCCAAAGTCCTATATACCCTATTACAATATAGTAATTTTCCATTTTCTTTTCCATTCTCCCCATATAACCCCTATGTACACGTACAGGCCTTGCTTTGGCAAAGCAGGTTCGCTCGCCAGTCAGCATGATGCAGTCTGGGGCGGGTCGCGATGCTGCGTGGCGTGGCTTGCTTCGCCTCAATTCAGGGAGGAGAGCCTTGCAGGAAAACAGGCATGCCAAGATGCACCTGCAAAGTTCTTGTGACTATGACATTCATGTTCATGTCGTGGAGGTCCTTTGGCTGGGTCTAAGGCAAGCCTTTCCTAGACTGGCTCCCTGTGATTGATTTTGAGTCCCCACCAGATCAATCAATCAATCAATCAATCAGTCGCGTACCCTCGTTTCCCAAGATGAAGCCATGATCCAGCCTGTCTTCTCAAGGCCGCCGACTTGCAGCATCAGCTCCAAGCAAGACAGGAGAACCATCAGAGTGGAACCCTTCAGTCAAAATTTCAGGTGTGGGGCGTCTAGAATTTTAGAAGCACACAAGAGAGTCCCTATAATGAGGGTTATGGCGGTTATGGTTGTCTGGGTCTATATTGAGCCCTGCTACCATTTATGAGAAACCTCGTTTGACTTCCTGACTGAAGGTTGTGGCGGCAAAGCTGCCCTGTCTTTATGGGGATTATGTAGCGGCTTTATGGGGCTTATTTCGTAATAATGGAAGAGAAATGGAAACCATTGTAATATATATATATATATTGGGGGTTGTGCCGAACCTACATATTTGAATCCCCTCAACAGTGGAGCGAGTCAGAAGATTGTTTCAGGCTCGACATTCCATGGAGATTTTCGTTTACAGGCAACCCTCAAAGCAGGACTACGTATAGTCCCCCCAAAGTAGATAGAATATGGCTTTGGGTATATTACAATAAGATCCCCATATACCCCATATTCTATCTACTTAAGGGGGGCTATAACTGCGTACTGTCATCTTCCTGATTTACAAGCTTGCCCGGTCCTCGCTTCAAAATGCCTGAGTCTCAGATCTCCCCCTCACATCCAACAAAAACAGAAACAGCTCATTCTCTTCCTTGATGCTGGAAAGGACGAAGCGCGGAGGCAGCTTGAAGAGTCCGAAACTTACGGTTTCTGGGTGTTCAGGGTTGAGGACTTGTCATGTAGGGTTCGGGGGTTAAGGTGAGCTCTGTCTGGCACTCAGCAAGTTCAGTTTCACAAAAGGGTTTAAGATGCAGGGCTTGGCAGCTGGTGTGGGTTCGTTGGCATTCAGTATTGTTTGATTGACCTCGTTTCCTAGTCCTCTTCTCTGTTCCTCAATGGGCCTTGCGACTGTTATGGCTCCTAGCTGGACGAGCAACGTTCCTGCCGAGTTCTCGGAGCTCAATCAGAGCGATTTTGGGAGGGCGTGTGGAGGGGTGCGCTGCAAAGTATGTCCAGAACCCGAAGCTAAACCGAAGGCTGACAACGGTTTGGCACTTGCATCTCTGCATTGAGGCAGTGGCAAGCCGAACATGCTCAGCGTGAGGCCCTGCGCCTGTTTCATTGTCACCTTGACTGTTTCGAGGCACCATGCATGGCTCCCTGTGCTTGGAACATAAGTGACACATTGCTCCAACGAGCTCATGCGCCCCAAAGCCGAATGTGAACCCCAATACGGTAAAACCCTTACTATAAGACCACTCCAAAAGGGGCCCTTAAGCCAACCTCTATAAACCACTATAAAGCCTGCCTCCATTTCATTTCCATTTTGTGTTCCACATGGTTTCCACTACTAGGGTAGTATGGTTCCTGAACCCTATCTGTGTTTTCCTATCATACCAAATCCCTAAATTGAAAATCGTATATGCCCCTTGAGAACCCTTAAACATATATCCCCTACATCCCCTTTGAATTGAAAGGATCCCTTGGAAACCTCATACCCCTAAACCCTAAACCTTAACCATGACCTTCAGAGGAAGAGGAAGCTCGCTGGCAAGAGCAGCAAGCACAGCTTAGGGCCGAGGAGGAAGCCCGCTGGCAGGCCTCTGGTTATTGGATAGGTTTTAGGGTTTAGAGTTTAG